GGATAATCTAGAGGAACCAAGCATGGTGGCTTCGATTGCTTGTAACACCCAGACACTTTGGGAGGACTGAGGTGGGTGGATCACCCTGGAGGTTGGGAGTTCAAAACCAGCCTGACCAACATGGGTGAAACCCCGTCTCTTACCAAAAGTACCAAAAATTAGCCGGCGTGGTCGGTGGGCACCTATAATCCCAGCCTACTCGCGAGGCTGAGGCAGGAGAATCACTGAACCAGAGCAGAGATTGCAGTGAGCTGAGATAGCACTACTGCACTCCAGGCCTGGGCGACAAGAGCAAAACTCTTGTTTCCCAAAAAAAAAAGAAAAAGAAATGGGATACATCTAGAGGCCAGGCACTGGGCTTCTCACATCTGTAATCCACAGCCACTTTGGGAGGCCGAGGCAGGCCAATCATCTGAGGTCAGGAGTTCAAGACCCAGCCGTGCCTGGCCAACATGGTGATATCCTGTCTTACTAAAAAATACAAAAATCAGCCAGAATCCCAGCACTTGGGAGGCGAGGTGGGCGGATTCACAAGGTCAGGAGATCAAGACCATCCTGGCCAACATGGTGAAGCCCTGTCTCTACTTAAAATACAAAAAATTAGCTGGGCATGGTGGCACTTACCTGTAGTCCAGCTACTCGGGAGGCTGAGGCAGGAGAATCGCTTGAACCCGGGAGGCGGAGGTGCAGTGAGCCAAAAATCGCACCACTGCATTCCAGCCTGGCAACAGAGTGAGACTTCCGTATCAAAAAAAAAAAAAAAAAAAAAATTAGCCAGGCATGGTGGGCCAGTGGCGGGTGCCTGTAATTCCAGCTACTCAAGAGGCTGAGGCACAAAAATCGCTTGAGACCTGGGAGGCGGAGCATGCAGTGAGCCAAGACTGCACCACTGCACTCCAGCCTAGGCAACAGAGTAAAACTCTGTGTTAAAAAAAAAAAAAAAAAGAAATGGGATATTCTGAATGTCATAGATAATGACACATAAACAGTGAATGTTTTGGTCATCAGAGAAGGCTTATAAACCTTCCTCATTTTTATAAACCTAGCATGAATTTCAAGCCATAGTGAAGGCAAAAATAGTTGAGGTAAAAAGTAATTCAAGTCTCCCACTGCATGCTATCCAACTTGCCTGTACAATGAACAATTAAATATCTTACCCTGGATACCATTTAGCATGTTGCTCCCAAGGGTCTTCACTGGGCTTCCAATCAGTTAGCCCTCCTCCACAGTGAAAGCACTTTACTTTATCACCTTCACCTACGAAAACACACAGGAATATATGTGTTTGCGCAATTAGAAGCTTACACAAAAATATTCATTTAACATCTAAAAATTAAGCACATCTGAAAAACATGAAAATCTCGCAGCTTAAAACAAGACATTCAAATTCACATCTAAGTAACAGATAGGATCTTTATCCTTTGAGGAAGAAATACACACTAAATTCACTGATTCAATCTGAGGTATTTTTTACAGAAGACAAAAATAAAACTGCCAAGTTTTATGTTAAAAACTAAAATTGTTATTTTTTTTTTTGAGACTGAGTCTTGCTCTGTTCCCCAGACTGGAGTGCAATGGCTCAGTCTTGGCTCACTGCAACCTTTGCCTCCCGAGTTCAAGAGATTCTCCTGCCTCAGCCTCTCAAGTAGCTGGGATTACAGGCATGTGCCACCATACCCGGCTAATTTTTTATATCTTTGGTAGAGATGGGGTTTCACCATGTTGGCCAGCCTGATCTTGAACTCCTGACCTCAAGTGATCCACCCGCCTCGGCCTCCCAAAGTGCTGGGATTACAGGCGTGAGCCACTGCGCCTGGCATACTTTATTTTCATTTATTTATTTATTAATTATTATTACTATTTTTTTTCTGAGATGGAGTTTTACTCTTGTTGCACAGGCGGGAGTGCAATGGCTTGATCTTGGCTCACTGCAACCTCTGCCTCCTGGGTTCAAGTGATTCTCCTGCCTTAGCCTCCCGAGTAGCTGGGATTACAGGCACGTGCCACCACGTCCAGGTAATTTTTGTATTTTTAGTAGAGACGGGGTTTCGCCATGTTGGCCAGGCTGGTCTTGAGCTCCTGACGTCAGGTGATCCACCCACCTCAGCCTCCCAAAGTGCTGAGATTACAGGCGTGAGCCACTGAGCCCAGCCATACTGTCTTTTTAGTATGTTATTTGGGCCACCAATATTGTACTTACTGTTTCAAACTGTGAAACTTTAAAACTGATGTTATGTTCCAAGTATTAGTAATATTAAAGTTCTACATAATGAAATTATGAGACAAGTTTCTCTAAGTTTATAGCAACATGACACTAAACAAACCTTCAAGATTACTATATGATGGTACATAAATAAAATCTTTTGAAATAACCAATATTTTATAGGCATTATTCAATCTTAAAATAAATGGGTCAAATATATAATGGTATAATTTTAAAAAATATCTTTAGAAGCAATCACTCCAACGGCCCTTCCTGACATGTCTACCACAGTCCATTTGAAAGCACTCATATGGCCGAGCGCGGTGGCTCATGCCTGTAATCCCAGCACTTTGGGAGGCCAAGGTGGGTGGATCACAAGGTCAGGAGTTCGAGACCAGCCAGGCCATGATGAAACCCCGTCTCTACTAAAAGTACAAAAATTAGCCAGGCATGGCGCATGCACCTGTAATCCCAGCACTTTGGGAGGCCAAGGCAGGTGGATCACCTGAGGTCAGGAATTTGAGACCAGCTTGACCAACAGGGAGAAACCCTGTCTCTACTAAAAATACAAAATTAGCCAGGCGTGGTAGCACATGCCTGTAATCCCAGTCACTCAGGAGGCTGAGGCAGGAGAATCGCTTGAACCCAGGAGGCAGAGGTTGCAGCGAGCCTAAATCTCACTATTGTGCTCCAGCCTGGACAACAAGAGCGAAACTCCGTCTCAAAAAAAAACAACAAAAAAAAAACAACAAAAAGAAGTTATTGTGAAGTTTAGAGAAAATGCATGAGGTATATGTATTTACTTACAGTAAGTGCTCAATAAATGATGGTTAATATTACTATTAGACCCATTTTGCTATTGGGGATGCTACCATCTTTTGCAAGTTATCTACTTCCTAAAAACAATTACATGAAGAGAAGCATGACTCATAATATGGTAGTCTTTTTCACATAAATTCAGTAGTTACATTACAGGTTCAACATAAGAGTTCACAGAATAATACGGATATATATATAATCGTGCCAAGTTATACCTAAATATTTACCAGTTCAGGGGGCTAAGGGCATCTATTTACTTTTTACGAGCCCTGGCAAAGTTGGGAAGCTATTTATTGGTTTTATAATAAAGTTTACCTAAAGCATAAAATCCAGCTCTTGCAAGCTGCTCCTTGTTAACTGAGTATATCCATGTCCCAAAAGTAATGATCCGTGCTTCATAATCTGCCATGGATGGATTTCTTGGAAGATTTGTTGAATTTGGGAAATTCCTATCAGAACTCACAGCATCAGATTCACTTCGAATATTAAGATTCCGGCCCAAAACAAAGAAGCAATTAGGAAAGTGTCGCCTGTGTTCTGACCAGGCACGATCACAAGGTTCCCAATTTTTCAGTTTTCCACCACAACAAAAGCACTGCACTTGGTCACCAATACCTGTGTAGTAGAGTCCAGCACTTGCTAACTCTCTTGGGGTTAGGTGAGCATAGTCTGGCCAGTTCTGAAAGGACTTTAATCTAGCTTCTTCACTATACATGGCAGGGTTCCTCGGGTATATGGTGTCTGATATATCTACAACCTGCCCAGTTCTCAAAAGATAGTCTGCATGTGTCTCAGATGGCCTGTCTAAGGCAAAATGATTTCTGCTTCCCAGATAGTTTTCGACTTTGTACTGACCATTCTGGATACCAGAATTTGTAGACTGCGTGGCACTATTTTCAAAATAAAAGCCATTGATAAATCTGCAATTTGGGGATACTTTCCTGTGTCTTCCAACTGCTGAGTCTCCATATTGCCATCTATCTACAGCTGCATGACAACTAAAGCACCGCACGGTATCTCCTTCACCAGTATAAAGAAACCCTGCTCGTGCCAGTGTTGATGCTGAAACAGGACTACTACTTGGAAAATCTGCAAAAGTTTTTAATCTATTAAACTCTTCTACAAATTCTTCTTCCTTATTGATGTCTGCAGGTACACAAGTTTTAGATCCTTCAAAACTGTTAAAAGTCATCTTCTCTTGAAAATAGGACTTGTCCACCTTTTCTAAAAAGAGAACATTATATTAGGAAATCCAAAATGTGAAACACAAGCAATAGACTTTTGTTATAGGAGCTAACAAATTATCACTTATGACATAAAAATAACTACACAACTGCTAAGAAACATTCTAATTCTAAATACTAGGGTTTAACATTACATCATTCAAGTCATAAAGTACAATCTAGCATTTTTGTTTTCTCTTTTGGAGGAAAGTAATATTTAAGCAGGCAGCATAAAACTAATAATTTTTAAATGCTCATTTTACATAAATATGTAAACTGTGATGCAGAATATATTATAATTATTAACCATGTCAAATCATTAATTAGGAAAAACATGAAAGAAGCATAAAATATGCAGATTATTAAAGTCTGTACGTAATTGTTATAATGAATCATTATATATTCAAGGCATCAAAGTTCAGTTTTTACAAATTAAAAAATGTTCAGAATGTTAATGAATTAATTTTAATATTTCTTTGCTTAGCAAAATATGTTTTAATCATAATATTGGTTCCAATGTGTTCTTTAAGAGTATGAAATATTTCTGATTTTCATGCATGAACCAGATCTCCTTTTTTGTTGTAACTGGATAATTACAGATATATATGTAACACTGCCCTCTAGAGAGTGGCTCAGAAGAAACTCTAAGTACCTGCAAACCTTAATTGCTTTTTTTTTTTTTTTTTTGCCCATGACATACATGTGCCCTGCAGTTACTTTTGCTATTAACTGCCCTTGGTAGCCAGGCGCAGTGGCTCATGCCTATAATCCCAGCACTTTGGGAGGCCGAGGTGGGCGGATCACGAGGTCAGGAGATTGAGACCATCCTGGCTAACAGGGTGAAACCCCGTCTCACCTAAAAATACAAAAAATTAGCCTGGCGTGGTTGTGGGCGCCTGTAGTCCCAGCTGCTGGGGAGGCTGAGGCAGGAGAATGGTGTGAACCCAGGAGGCCAAGCTTGCATTGAGCCGAGATCGCAACACTGCACTCCATCCTGGGCGGCAGAGCGAGACTCCGCCTCAAAAAAAAAAAAAAAAAAAAAACTTCCCCTTGGTCAAGTAACAATCTGTTCAAATGGAAGATAAGTATTGTTGCAGTCTTATTAGAGCTGCCAAATTACAGCTGTGTAATTTTAACCCAGATAAAATACTAAAGAGAACCCATTAGGTTATGAGAAGGATAGCAAGATAATTTATCTTCCAAACCTGGACACTTCTCAAAGTGAAAAATCACACTAGCAATAATCACACTGGGACAACAGGCATAAATCAGGGTTGCCCCAGGCAAACTAGAGCATATGGTAACCCTAGCTATGAGGCAAACCTGGTTCTCCAGAATCTCCCATATTGCCTGATAATGTGCTCAATATAAACTTGTCAAAGGCAAAATAATGGTAACAAGGACTCTGTCTCTATATTATATGTGCATTAATTGATTTTTTTTTTTTTTTGAGATGGAGTTTTGTTCTTGTTGCCCCGGCTGGAGTGCAATGGCGTGATCTTGGCTCACTGCAACCTCTGCCTCCTGGGTTCAAGCGATTCTCCTGCCTCAACCTCTCAAGTAGCTGGGATTACAGACATGCACCACCATGCCCAGCTAATTTTGTATTTTTTAGCAGAGACGGGGTTTCTCCAGGTTGGTCAGGTTGGTCTTGAACTCCCGACCTCAGGTGATCCCCCGCCTCGGCCTCCCAAAATGCTGGGATTACAGGCATGAGCCAAAAGGTCGAGCCATTGATTTCTTGAGAAGAATTAGCCAGCTCTTTTGCCTTTATGTTGACACAATATGTCTTAGAATTTAATCTCTTTTGGAGTAATGTTCAACACAAAGCAAGCTGGCAATGGACTTGTCTTTCCTGGCCATGTCAACTTATAGTGGTATTAACTCATACCTCAACAGCTGAGTTATATCTGCATAAAACTTTTGGAATAGTCTCCATGACTTTTGATGAATTATCATTTCCTAGATGTCTGAAAACATTCCAACATTAGCTTCAAGGCCCTTTGTTGAATCAGCATAATAAACCGAATGACAAAAATCAAGATTCAAAGAAACCAATGCTGATCAAACCCCTTGTTCTACTCTTTTCCCTCTTCTCACTCTGCACTTGACTAGTCTTAAGAAAAAACCAGCCGGTCATAGTGGCTCACGCCTGTAATCCCAGCACTTTGGGAAGCCAAGGTGGGCAAATCACCTGAGGTCGGGAGTTCGAGACCAGCTAGACCAACATGGTGAAACCGTCTCTACTAAAAAACACAAAATTAGCCAGGCATGGTGGCACATGCCTGTAATCCCAGCTACTTGGGAGGCTGAGGCAGGAGAATCACTTGAACCCAGGAGGCGGAGGTTGCAGTGAGCGGAGATCGCACCATTGCATTCCAGCCTGGGCAACAAGAGCGAAACTCTTGTCTCAAAAAAATAAATAAATAAATAAAATAAAAGTAAAAAACCAAAGCTACCTGATAGGCTAATGAGATAACATTTAATAGGGGTAAATGTAAAGTCTTACATCTGGTTTTTTAAAAATATCTGGTGCATAGGCCGGGTGCGGTGACTCATGCCTATAATCTCAGCACTTTGGGAGGCCAAGGCAGCCGGATAACTTGAGGTCAGGAGTTTGAGACCAGCCTGGCCAACATGGTGAAACCCCTATCTCTACTAAAAACACAAAAATTAGCCAGGCGTGGTGGCAGGTACCTGTAATCCCAGCTACTCGGGAGGCTGAGACAGAAGAATCCCTTGAACCCGGGCAGCGGAGGTTGCAGTGAGCCAAGATCATGTCACTGCACTCCATCCTGGGCGACAGAGTGAGGCTCCATCTCAAAAAAAGAAATAAAAAAAAAAGGGCCGGGTGCAATGGCTCATGCCTATAATCCCGGGACTTTGTGAGGCCAAGGAGGGTGGGTCACCTGAGGTCAGAAGTTCAAGACCAGCCTGACCAACATGGAGAAACCCCATCTCTACTTAAAAAAAAAAAAAAGAACAAAGAAAATTAGCCAGGGCGTGGTGGCAGACTCCTATAATCGCAGCTACTCGGGAGGCTAAGGCAGGGAGAATTGCTTGAACCCAGGAGGTGGAGGCTGCAGTGAGCTGAGATCGTGCCACTGCACCCCAGCCTCGGGTGACAGAGCGAGCGTCTCAAAAAAAAAAAAAAAAAAAAAAATCTGTTGCATAGCTAAAAGAAAATGGAGACTTGGTTTAAGAAAAAATCACATAAAGGCAATCCTCCAGATTAAACCTTGGAATTTTAATTAATTACAAATTCATCATGAGCCAACATTACAAGTTGACTAAAAAACTTACAGCAACTTCAGGCTGCATTAGTGTCCAGATGTGCAACATCCAGATCCAATTCAGCTACCAAGGGATATTATTTCCAGTTCCAAATACATTTTGGAAGGGACATTAACAAAGTTTAATGTCCTTAGGGAGCAATTGGGATGATAAAAATGATATCATATGAGAAATAGTTAGAATAGCAAAGGATATTTATCGCAAAGGGTGGAAAAATTGTGAGGGGAAGGGTAGGGAGGATAGACTGATATCTAAAAGGTTATCATGTAGAAAAGAGATCCACATTTTGTATAGCTTGAGGGCAGAATTAAGGTCATTAAATACAACTATAAACAGCCGATTTTAACCCAAGGATGAGCTTTATAACAATTGATATAGCAACAAATGGATTGGGTTGCTTTGTAGATTATGAGTTCCTCCTATCACTTAAAGGAGCTTCAGCATGGACTAGGAGACTGGATTAAACATTTCCAAGTCTATAATTATCCTGAAGAATTAATGCTCAGTATAATTCAAAACACATGAGAATTGCCTTCCCTGGGGTGTTAAATTTTATTTCAAGTCAATCAAAATAGATGTAAGTGGTCAGGCACAGTGGCTCATGCCTGTAATTCCAACACTTTGGGAGGCTAAGGTGGGTGGATCAGTTGAGGTCAGGAGTTCAAGACCAGCCTGGCCAACATGGTGAAACCCCATCTCTACCAAAAAATGCAAAAATTAGCCAGGCATGGTGGCACACGCCTGTAATCCCAGCTACTCGGGAGGCCAAGGGACGAGAATCACCTGAACCTGGGAGGCAGAGGTTGCAATGAGCCGAGATTGTGCCACTGCACTCCAGCCTAGGTGACAGAGTAAGACTTCATCTCAAAAAAAGAAAAAACAAAGTATAAAATCAAAGATATTCTCATTTCACAATTTTGTGTAGTTCAAGTAGTCACCCTATTTCAGAAAATATTAGATAAAACCATCATTCAACATGAGCAGGAGAATCTCAATTTGAAGCTTTTGAGTGGAGATCTTGTCTTCCCAGAGGTTGTTTCCATGCTAATAGTTCAGATTTCACTCTTTTGAAAAGTAAATATTTATTTAGAAGCACTCAAGCGAACAATATATACACATTAGCAGAGTGTGAGCTTTTTGAGAAGAAGGAAAAAACAGAATTACCAGAGAGTTTAAGAGTGAAAGGTGGAAGGATGACTGATGAACGACAGAAACCTTGGCTTTGGAGGAAGGCACCAAACAAAAAGGGTAAGATAGGGTAAAAAAATATAGGATCTAAGTGAAATGGAGGAGGGGAAAATGATACCACAGAAAACAAGTAAATATGGAGCAGAAGAATTGAGAATATAGAAGAAAATAGGGTACGAATATTGGACAAGGGTGACAAAAAGGTTTTTGAAGTGAAAAGGTGTGGGTGCAATAAAGTATGCTGGGATAATTTAAGGCTTCTCTGTGAAAGCATCTTCAGGCTTTGTACTGGGTATGTGGAAAGGCAGGAAGGCATGGAAAGAGAAAAATGTCAAAGAAAGCTTTTGGTATAAAGGGGCTGGGCAGTCAGGAATGTTAAGGGTAACGGTAGTTGGGAAAATAGCACTATGGAAGCAAAAAATGGGACAAAAAGGACCAGCAAGCAATGGTGCATGTTTAAATGAAAGGTTTGGGAGATTCTACAATGGTAATATGTAAGGTTTTATAGTATACATGTAC